GATTTTGTGAGAGTATGCTTTATTTTGTTATCTCTTGTTCAATGCTATAACATTTGAATTTTTGCAGGATGGAGTATCATTTAAATGCAGAGTTGAGACGGATGTCGGGGAAAGCTACTTGGAACAGTAGCTTTGAGAGTTTTACTGCTGTATTGGAGCTGTTCGATGATCAGCACGGAGATACTCTACGACAGTCCTTCTTGTGGCCACTGTACCAGTTGCGAGAGGTACAATACTCAGGACAGATCATTGATGCACTTCTATGTCGACTTCTGAGGCCAGTCGACAGCGATTCCTTCCAGTTCGACCTCGAGGGCAAGGTCGTCAGTTTCTCGATATTTGAGTTTACATTGATCATTGGACTGAAGATTACGGGCGACGATGCAGCCATGGAGAGAAGCAGTAGGCTGTACGAGACGTACTTCCAGGGACATGGGTCGGTGCTTCTACCCGACTTGATGGTCGCGATCAGGGGGTGCGACCATATGCTAGATAGATTGAAGCTTGGGCTGGTCTACATCCTCGAGAGTGTGATGAGGTGTCATCACAAGAAGACTGCCATCGACATTTTTCATTTGCAAGTTGTTGACGACATCGATGCTTTCAACAACTATCCGTGGGGTCGAAGATGTTACGAAGACACCGTACATGTGTTCACCAGATCGCACTCGAGGCCCAAGGGGTCGATGCGTAAATACGATACATATGGATTGCCGTTAGCAGTGCAGGTAAATGTTTAATATAATCAAAGTTAAAGTTTTAGTGTATTACATTGATGCTTAATAAGTGTATGTGTTACAGATTTGAGTGTATGAGACAGTTCCAGTACTGGGGGCCCACTTTGCACAGCGAGGGGAGACACGCTACCCTCGGATGCATCATTGGAGATCATCGCGAGCGGAGGGATGTCCCACCGGGAAGCAGTTATCGGCCCTCCTCGACGATCCTCGGGTAAGTATTATGCATTTGTGATTTATATTATACGTAGTTTAAAATTTTGTTTACATGATCGTTAAATAGTTGAAATGTCAATATGTCAGCTTGAAGTCATACCTGAGTTGACGCCATCGATGGAAGAGGAGGCTCGAGGTCTTGTGCGAGATTTAGGCGTTTCGCACACCCCAAACGAGGAGATGCCTGATCCGAGCTTGGACCGAGATTGGGTATGTGAATGAAATATAATTTATTGAATATGATCGACGTATAAATTTATTGAATAATTTTTCATTTTATTTATGTAGGAGGGCGGTCCAGCTGATCGACGATCACCTCCGCCGGGGCCATCGCCGCCACCATTGGCATCATCTCCGCCGAGAGTATCGTCCCTGCCATTGGCATCACCTCCGTCGAGGACATCACCGCCGCTAGTGGCATCACCTCCGCCGGGGCCATCGCCGCCGCCATTGGCATCACCTCTGTCCAGACACCTCCCCCGTGTGTCTCCGGGGCACAGTGATGATTTGTATGCCCGTTTGACTGAATTTATAGCGGAGGAGGTCGGCGCGCTACGACGAGATTTGATGAAGAGGGTCGATGATCTGGGACGAGAGTTGACAGGGAGGGTCGACGATCTGGCAGGGAAGGTTGACTATATGACAGGGAGGGTCGACGATATGGGACGAGAGTTGACAGGGAGGGTTGACGATCTATCCCATGATGTTGGAATACTACAGTCTTCCGTTGTCGACTTTCAGGATACAGTAGCGGTGCTTAGGGGAGATTTAGCCGGCAGACGATGAGGGGACAGAGGGGATGGCGGAGATCATGATCGAGAGGGTGGCCGAGATGGTGATGGAGAGGGGGGTCACCCACATTTTTGGCGTGATGAGACATTGGAGTCCTTGTGGTTGTCTATGGAGGGGGTGGCCCCGATGAGGATGGGAGAGGGGACTACGGAGGCAGTGGCCCCGACGGGAGGGGCGGAGGAGGTGGCCCCGGAGGTCGAGAGGACGCCCGGCGTGATT